TGCTGAATTGTTTTGCCAGGCAATTGGAAAGGAACTACTATTAATCTAGAGAGAGAGAGAGAGAGATCATGATTTTATTTCTTTGTACTTAATTTTCCTGCACTTTGGAGAGAGAGAGAGAGAGAGACTATGACTTTTTTTCCTTCCACATGGTGGGCACATTGTTCCATCATCGTTTATTATATAACCTGTCCTCTCCCCCTCTCATTCTACCTGCTGTCCCGATTCTTCTTACAGATCTTTGGATCTCTTCGTGGGTTTTTTCTTCTTTGATTATTCCTGAGCCAGATTTGCTCATTTAATGACTGTAGCTTTTAAAATGAGTTTTAACATCTGCTAAGGTATGAACCTATCATTGCTCTTCATTTTCAAAATGCCCTTGGCTGATTTTACCCATTTTTTTTCCTACTCGAGATATATTTGAATCTTTATGTCACTATCCTCCCCCAAACAACAACAACAAAAAAACCACACAGTGATTTTAATTGGAATTACATCAGTGTTACAGATGTATTTGTGGAGGATAGACATTTTTCCCAATATTAAATCATTCAGTCTTCTTGTTCAGGGTATGGTATGTTCTCCTGGTTACTCAAAGCTTTTTTTGTCTTTGGTAAAGTGATTTGTTGTTGTTGTTATTTTTTGTTTTTTTGTTTTTGAGAGAGAGAGAGAGAGATTTTTTAAAGATTTTATTTATTTATTCATGTGAGACAGAGGAGGAGAGAGAGAGAGAGAGAAGCAGAGGGAGAAGCAGGCTCCCAAGGAGCAGGGAGCCTGATGCGGGACTCGATCCCAGGACCCTGGGATCATGACCTGAGCCGAAGGCAGACGCTTAACCATCTGAGCCACCCAGGCGCCCTTTTTTGTTTTTAAACACCTGTAAATGCACTGGCCACCCAATCCCAAACATTCACAATAACTTGTACATAATGTTGTGCTTCCATCTTTTGGACTTTGGTGAAATTTATTATTTTACTTAAATGCTCCACATCTCTTGTTAACCATAGGTTTAATATTTTTTGTTGTGATTGTGAATAAGATTGTTCTTGTTACTTTAAAACCTAATGCAATTGCTGGTTACATATTTATATTGTTATTGATCTTATTTAATTTTCTCTTGAGCTATATATATATTTAGGAGATTCTCTTTAGTTTTTACGGGAAGCAATATTTACTCTCCAAACATTTTTTTTAAAGTAATTTCAAACTTGCAGCAAAATTGAAAGAAAAAAGGACTTGTAGAATCTCCCCTGAAATTCACCAATTATTAATGTCTTGTCACATTTGCACTGTCTCTTTCCTCCTCTGCTGTAGATATATACACACACATATATACATATGTATATTTCTGTTGCTACTGCTGAATTGTTTTGCCAGGCAATTGGAAAGGAAGCTGTAGATATCATATACTCTAGCCCAGGGCTTACCAAACTCTTTTCTGTAAAGGTCCAGATAGTTAATATTTTAGGTTTTGTCGGCCACACCCTCTCTGTCACAATTACTCACCAGGCCATTGCAACACAAAAGCGGCCTCAGATAGTGTGCAAGCGAATGGGTGTGGCTGTCTTTTAATAAGACTTTATTTTAATTTTTAAAGATTTTTGAAATGTATTTGACAGAGAGAAAGAGAGAGAGAGAGCACAAGTGCATGAGCGGGATGGGGAAGGGCAGAGGGAGAAGGAGAAGCAGGGGCTGGATCCCAGGACCCTGGGATCATGTCCTAAGCCAAAGGCAGACTCTTAACTGAGCCACCCATGTGCCCCCGTAAGACTTTATTTTAAACAATAGAGGGCAGATCTGGCCTGGGAGCCTAAGTTTGCCGACTCCTGACCAAACCCTACGTACTTCAGTGTGCATCTCCCATGACTGAGGGCCGTTCCCTCTGGAGCCACAACAATCATTACCACACCTGTTGAAATGAACAATAATTCCATAACAGTATAAAAATCCAATCAACCCATAGTGGAGAGATGTTTGGTTTATATCGTTGGATTTTGCATACAATTATTTAAGTCTGCTGGAGAAGACAAGCAATACTTTCTCTTTTTTTTAAATTAACATATAATGTATTATTTGTTTCAGGGGTACAGGTCTGTGATTCATCAGTCTTGCACAATTCACAGCGCTCACCATAGCACATGCCCTCCCCAAAGTCCATCACCCAGCCACCCCCATCCCTCCCACCCCCCTCCCCTCCAGCAACCCTCAGTTTGTTTCCTGAGATTAAGACTCTCTTATGGTTTGTCTCCCTCTCTGGTTTCATCTCGTTTCATTTTTCCCTCCCTTCCCCTATGATCCTCTGTCTTGTTTCTCAAATTCCTCATATCAGTGAGATCATATGATACTTGCCTTTCTCTGACTTATTTCGCTTAGCATAATACCCTCTAGTTCTATCCACGTCATTGCAAATGGCAAGATTTCATTTTTTGATGGCTGTATAATATTCCATTGTGTGTGTGTGTGTGTGTGTGTGTGTGTACACCACATCTTCTTTATCCATTCATCTGTTGATGGACATTGAGGCTCTTTCCATAGTTTGGCTATTGTGGACATTGCTGCTATAAACACTGCGGTGTACGTGCCCCTTCGGATCACTACATTTGTATCTTTGGGGTAAATACCCAGTAGTCAAGCAATACTTTCTATGTATCTCTAACAGCAAGAATCCCCTGTTCTAATCTCTGGCCTCCCCCCTCCCCAGAGGTGAGCTGAGCCCCAGATGCTGGGAAGGTGGCTCCATGGAGCTGGTGTCCTGGGGCTCAGTTCACAAGGAGATTACAGAGGGGTTGAGTTCCCAGAGATTTTCTGGTTGATGATCTCCTTGAGAACCTCAGTGAGATAGAGATGATAAATTGTGGAGTGCTCCATATCGGGGCTCATGGGGGGCTCAATAAAGCCATGAGGTTCACCAAGGAACCCACATGCAGGCTTTGGGTGTTATTTACAAGGAAGGCTATGGTAATGATATGTTTGTTTTTGATTTCAAAATTAATTTGCTGCATGTGAACGTTTAAACTTTAATACTCACAGTAATCCTAATTTGGTATGTCTGCATTTTGAGGAGCCTCAGACATGCAAGTAGTACCTGTGAGGCCCCGGTGGGCCTCATCAGGGCAGTGTCTGCCAGGAATGTCAGCTCATGGACTTGGGGGTGGGAAGGTCCAGGCTTACGAGCTGGGATATTTTCTGTAAATGGGCTGCCCTTGTATTGTGATGAACTCTTCATACCAGGAACTGTCTTAGCATGGGCTGAAACAAGATCCGAGAAGTTTCTGTGGTGGATTAAATATGGCTGACAGCAAATTCTTTGTCACGTCTCTCTTTGAGAGGTAGGTTTATTTCCCTTCCCTTGAGTCTGCTTTGGCCTTGTGCCTAGCCTTGATCTGTAGAGTGCAACAGAAATGATTGTGTAACTTTTGAGGACAGGCTAAAGGAGATTTGCAGCTTCTGCCCCTTTTGCAATGCTCCCTTTTGGAAGCTGCCCCATGAGAAACTCTACAGCCTTAGACTACCACTCTGTAAGGAAAGCTGGGCAAGCCAGGCAGAGGGAAAGGGGCTGTGTGGAGGACATTGAGGCACCAGACACGTGAGTGAAGCCTTGGTTCTTCCT